CTACGTGCCTGCATCCCACGTGCCTGCATCCCACGTGCCTGCACCCCACGTGCCTGCATCCCCTGTGCTTGCATCCCCCGTGCCTGCATCCCACGTGCCTCCATCCCCCGTGCCTGCATCCCACGTGCCTGCACCCCACGTGCCTGCACCCCCCGTGCCTGCATCCCCCGTACCTGCATCCAGCATGCGTGCATCCCCCGTGCCTGCATCCCACGTGCCTGCACCCCACGTGCCTTCATCCCACGTGCCTGCATCCCCCGTGCCTGCATCCCACGTACCTTCACCCCACGTGCCTGCATCCCACGTGCATGCATCCCACGTGCCTGCATCCCACGTGCCTGCATCCCACGTGCCTGCATCCCACGTGCCTGCATCCCACGTGCCTGCATCCCCCGTGCCTGCATCCCACGTGCCTGCACCCCACGTGCCTGCATCCTACGTGCCTGCATCCCACGTGCCTGCATCCCACGTGCCTGCATCCCACGTGCCTGCATCCCACTTGCCTGCATCCCACATGCCTGCATCCCACGTGCCTGCATCCCACGTGCCTGCATCCCCCGTGCCTGCATCCCACGTGCCTGCATCCCACGTGCCTGCATCCCATGTGCCTGCATCCCACGTGCCTGCATCCCACGTGCCTGCATCCCACGTGCATGCATCCCACGTGCCTGCATCCCACGTGCCTGCATCCCACGTGCCTGCATCCCACGTACCTGCATCCCACGTGCCTGCATCCCACGTGCCTGCATCCCACGTGCCTGCATCCCACATGCCTGCATCCCACGTGCCTGCATCCCACGTGCCTGCATCCCCCATGCCTTCATCGCCCGTGCCTGCATCCCCCGTGCCTGCATCCCACGTGCCTGCATCCCACGTGCCTGCATCCCTCGTGCCTGCATCCCCCGTGACTGCATCCCACGTGCTTGCATCCCACGTGCCTGCATCCCACGTGCCTGCATCCCCCGTGCCCGCATCCCACGTGCGTGCATCCCACGTGCCTGCATCCCACGTGCCTGCATCCCATGTGCCTGCATCCCACGTGCCTGCATCCCACATGCCTGCATCCCACGTGCCTGCATCCCACGTGCCTGCATCCCACGTGCCTGCATCCCACGTACCTGCATCCCACGTGCCTGCATCCCACGTGCCTGCATCCTACGTGCCTGCATCCCACGTGCCTGCATCCCACGTGCCTGCATCCCACGTGCCTGCATCCCCCATGCCTTCATCCCCCATGCCTGCATCCCCCGTGGCTGCATCCCACGTGCCTGCATCCCACGTGCCTGCATCCCACGTGCCTGCATCCCCCGTGCCTGCATCCCACGTGCCTGCATCCCCTGTGCCTGCATCCCACGTGCCTGCATCCCCCGTGCCTGCATCCCACGTGCCTGCATCCCCTGTGCCTGCATCCCACGTGCCTGCATCCCCCGTGCCTGCATCCCACGTGCCTGCATCCCACGTGCCTGCATCCCAAGTGCCTGCATCCCCCGTGCCTGCATCCCCCGTGCCTGCATCCCACGTGCCTGCACCCCACGTGCCTGCATCCCACGTGCCTGCATCCCACGTTCCTGCATCCCACGTGCATGCATCCCACGTGCCTGCACCCCACGTGCCTGCATTCCCTGTGCCTCCATCCCCCGTGCCTGCATCCCACGTTCCTGCATCCCACGTGCCTGCATCCCCCTTGCCTGCATCCCACGTGCCTGCATCCCACGTGCCTGCATCCCACGTGCCTACATCCCACGTGCCTGCATCCCCCGTGCCTGCATCCCACGTGCCTGCATCCCACGTGCCTGCACCCCACGTGCCTGCATTCCCCGTGCCTGCATCCCCCGTGCCTGCATCCCATGTGCCTGCATCCTACGTGCCTGCATCCCCCGTGCCTGCATCCCACGTGCCTACACCCCACGTGCCTTCATCCCACGTGCCTGCATCCCCCGTGCCTGCATCCTACGTGCCTGCATCCCACGTGCCTGCATCCCACGTGCCTGCACCCCACGTGCCTGCATCCCCCGTGCTTGCATCCCTCGTGCCTGCATCCCACGTGCCTCCATCCCCCGTGCCTGCATCCCATGTGCCTGCACCCCACGTGCCTGCATCCCCCGTGCCTGCATCCCCCGTGCCTGCATCCCACATGCGTGCATCCCCTGTGCCTGCATCCCACGTGCCTGCACCCCACGTGCCTTCATCCCACGTGCCTGCATCCCCCGTGCCTGCATCCCACGTGCCTTCACCCCACTTGCTTGCATCCCACGTGCATGCATCCCACGTGCCTGCATCCCACGTGCCTGCATCCCACGTGCCTGCATCCCACGTGCCTGCATCCCACGTGCCTGCATCCCACGTGACTGCATCCCCCGTGCCTGCATCCCACGTGCCCGCACCCCACGTGCCTGCATCCCACATGCCTGCATCCCACGTGCCTGCATCCCCCGTGCCTGCATCCCCCATGCCTGCATCCCCCGTGTCTGCATCCCACGTGCCCGTATATTAGGGACGCGTTCAACAACAGTCTGAGCGGGGGCTTGGATGTGGTGGCGCAAATGACATGGTTCACTGACATGTCAGCGCCTAGCCTCCTCCCCGCCTCACCTTCCTCATTGTTGCCCCCACCTTGCTGGGTCTCCCCATCCCTCCTTGCTCGGCCTCCCCTCCTCTACTGCTCCGCCTCCCCTGCCCTCCCTCACATCGTGTGCTCGCTGCAAGTGGTAACTCCTGAGCCCCTCTGTCACTTGTGTGTCCTGCAGAAGCCTCCACACAAACAACTTCTCCGGAGTGCTACCAGCAGCCGTCTCTGCGGTCAATGGGCTCACCGCCATGTCAGTGTGCTCCACCTCCCTCTCTCTCTCTCTCACTCACTCACTCACTCACTCACCCACTCACTCACCTCACCCACTCACTCACCAACTCACTCATCCACTCACTCACTCACTCACCTTCTCCATGCAGCAACAACTGCTTCTCACCAACCTGCGTGCTTGTTGTGGTGTCATGTGTTTGTGGGGCATGCACTGGGAAAAGTGCACATGTGACATGCCTTATCAAGGTTGCACGTGCGTGTGTGCCAAGTTGTTCGCGGACGGCCGGTGCATGAGGGCACGCGGACGTGTTTCTTTCTCCCATGCTCAAATGAATGAATGTGTGTGTGCCTGTGCATTTTTGCGTCCATCTCGTCCTCGTCCCACCACATCTGCCTTGGGCGTGCGGCAGAACCATCGCCAACAACCACTTCACGGGCGAATTTCCGCAGCCTCTTCTGCAGACCCACCACCTTGCTGTACTGTGAGTGAGACACGCACTTACAGTTGTGGACAAAGGTGGGTTGCTTGCAGTGGAATTAACATGTAGAATCATTTCTCTGCTTGACAGCTTTTCCACGCAAATTTTCCTGTGGTGCCACTCCTGAACGCGGCTGTCGCAACCTCTCATATGATGCTGGCAATGGCAATGGCAATGGCAGGGATGTGAGCAAGAACAGCCTTTCTGAATCCATTCCCCTTCAATTGACCGAGCCACTGGAGCTGGTAGACATGTGCGTGGTGCCCCAAGGATATCCTACATGCTCTTGCCTGTTACTTGACAATGGGGTTCCGATGCTCTTTCGTCAACCAATCCCCACAACCAAGCCTGTTTCTCGTTCGCGCCCAGCCTATACAATCACTTGTTTGTTCACTCTTTGGTGTTTTTCATTTTGCGTACATTCAATCAAGTGGAGCAGTTCTTTGATCCCTCCTGTGGGCTCAAGTGTTGCACTCTGTCATCTCTTCTGAGTGACTTGGCCAGCAATCTCAATGAAAACAACTTCCATGAGTCAATCCCGTCTGGCCTCTTCCACCTCCCCATGCTTTACTCACTGTGAGTACCTCCATCCATGGCGCCATTGCTTGCACCTGCTACAATACAGATTGCACTAAATAACAGCCTAATGTGAGGTTCGTAAATCAACTCAATAAAATAGTTCAGATTCAGTCTTTGGTGTTTTTCATTCCAAGACGTCCTCCTGCTGCTAAATACACAAACCTGCCAAATAGCCTGCAGAGTTCCAACTTGTGTGCCTGCCTTGCCTGCTACTCGTTTCCTGTGAGACCTCCTTGTTAATGTTAGCCCTCAATCTCACATTTGTACTTGTACTTTTTATATCCTAGGTTAGTGTACTTTGCACTTTGTGTTTGGTTGGGTGTACACCCACATCCCAACCAAACCCAAATGTGATCTCCAAGCAATCTCCAACCCACCAATTGAAGATTGCCTTGGGATTACCCACAATTCCCCAGGATTGCCCCCGATTCTCTCCCCACCCTTACCTTGCCCATTTCCAATGCACTTAAAGCGCCTTGAGCTCATTACTAATGTATGGATTCTAAGCTCAAGTTCTAACACTCCTTGCATCTCATCATTCTTCACCTTTGCATTCCCTTCTCAGCTTCCAGTCCGGCTGTGGCTCCTAATGTATGCAAGGAAACACCACTTTCCTCTATCTCCCTTCCTGTCTAATGCAGGCAAGTGGCAAACAACTCTCTTTCCGGGAACCTTCTAGTGACGCTTAAAGCCTCCTCTACACTTGCCACGCTGTAAGCAGCGCCACCACTGGCTGTGCTGCTACCACTCGCTGTGCTGCCCCCACTCGTTGTGCTGCCCCCACTCGCTGTGCTGCCCCCACTCGCTGTGCTGCCACCATTGCTGCACTCTCCGTGCTCATCGTCCCTGGAGTGGAGTTTGCCTACCTTTCGTTGCACCGTGTGCAGTAGCTTTGCAGGAAACGGCTTCACGGGCTCCTTGCCAGACTTCTCACTGTGGAAGGGCAGCTTTGAAAGGCTGTAGGCTTCTTGCTCTCCCTCTCCCCCCCTTTAACCCCCCTTCCTCCCCCCACTCTTCCACCTTTCCTGCATCAATCCCCTCTCAGTTGTTTCTTGACGAATCTGCGTTCCTCCCGGGTGGCCATCTTTCCGATCTCTGGCACGTGTCTTGCCTCTATCACGTCTCTTGGGCTTGTGGGTGCAATGCCTGGTGAGAGCTGTTCCTCGTGCAGGGAGCTGAGCCACAACAACTTCACAGGGCCCATTCCTGACTCCATCTCCACGCTCTCCACTCTGCAGGCCATGTGAGCCTCGTCTGCTGTTGCGCCCTCACCACATGCCCCTCACCACATGCACCTCAGCACACGCCCTTCACAACATGCCCCTTACCAAATGCCCCCCTCACCACATGCCCCTCACCACATGCCCCTCACCACATGCCCCTCACCACATGCCCCTGATCATATTTCCACCTGCATTTGCGGAGTGTCGTCTTCTCACCCAGAGTAGTTCCGGGAGAAAGCTGGCAGGGCCAGGCTAGCACCTAGCAGCTTTTATAATTTATATAATATAGCATGCGAACACTTGTGACTGTACACCAAGTGTGGTGTACACTTGGGCTGGTTCACACTCTAGTTTTAGGTGTAGTGCGGGTAGACACCCTAATTGGGGTGAACCCAAGTATCCTAGCTTAAAATTGGTTCCAACCTTGTTGGCCAAGTGGGGGTGTCAAACCATCATTGTCCCATGTGATGGGGCAACCAACTTTGGTTGGTTGGCCACCACCCCACCAGGGTTGGTTGGATGGTCCTTCCTCCCACTAGGCTACTTGGTCTTGGTGTCTTATGTGCTAGGTTTGGTGTTCTTCTCCAACCTTCTCTTCCTTGTATAACCTTCTGCTCTCTTGAGCTAATATTAACCATTCTTCCTCAAGTTTCTAAAGCTCCTAAATTCTTTCAGCAGCAGCCGGTGCCTCATGGGCTCTACCCTTGCCATACCTCGTGCGCTCTGCCCTTGCCATGCCTCTGCTATGCAGCATCCTCGACATCAACCAACTGATCGGGACCATTCCAGCTGCCATCTTCAACATGACGAACCTACAATCTCTGTGAGCCTTGAGTGCCCCTAGTGTTTTAAGGCGAACCTTTGCCCTGTGAGCCTTAACTGCCCTTAGGACCACACTTCTCTCCTGTGCCCACCTGCGCTGCTCTCCCATATGCTGCTCCTGCTCACAACAGTCGCTCCCCTCCATGCTCCCCTCCGTGCTCCCCCTTATGCTCCCCCCCATGGTCCCCTCCATACTTCCCTCCATGCTCTACAGCTACCTGGCCAACAACCATCTGAGCGGCAGTCTGCCGTCTGCCATCAGTCGCTTGGAGAAGCTCCAACAGATGTGAGGGCCCTCCCTGTCTTCCCTCCCAAGCAGTGAGGGGGAGCGTGTTGCGCAGCAGGGGAGGCAAGGGGATGTGCATAGGAGCATAGTGGGGCCATGGAGGCAAGGGCGTGGGGCAGCATGGTGGAGAGCCAGTGCAGGCTTGGCGTTCCTTCAGTGTAGCGGCTCTCCATGCTTGCAGGCAACCCTGGTGTGCCCCCTCCACTCCCTGATTGTTGCTCACTTCTCCCTTCTCCTCTACCTTGCTCCCTCCCCTGCCCCCGGCACGTGCACCCTTCCATGTCGTGTTGAGCAGTTCTTGATTCTTCTCCTGATGCCTAAATGCGTGCCAAGCTTTCCGCCCTGCCAAACTCACCCATGTTCTGTGCCTACTGCCGTGCCCCACTGCACTTAGCTGCTCCCATGCCCCTGCTTCTGCCCCTGCTTCTGTCCCTGCGTCTGCCCCTGCTTCTGCCCCTGCCTGGCCCCCCGCAGCTGGCTGGACAACAACAGCATCGAGGGCCCTCTGCCATCCGCCATCTGCTCGCTGCCCTGGCTATGGCGCATGTGAGTGGCTGTGGCGCATGTGAGTGGCTGTGGCGCATGTGAGTGGCTGTGGCGCATGTGAGTGGCTGTGGCGCATGTGAGTGGCTGTGGCGCATGTGAGTGGCTGTGGCGCATGTGAGTGGCTGTGGCGCATGTGAGTGGCTGGCTGTGGCGCATGTGAGTGGCTGGCTGTGGCGCATGTGAGTGGCTGTGGCGCATGTGAGTGGCTGGCATATGCTTCTTGGAGTGACAAGTGGGATGTTCTGGCATCGGTCCGGCCAGGAAGAGCGTAGCATTTGGATGAATGCAGCTGTGAGCAGTGCAAAAGCACGGTGTGGAGGGTGTGCTGGAATTGTGGCCAAGTGCAAGCGAGCCCGCCCCAGGTGCGTGAAGCATCCCTAGTGTGCCCAAACCCCACCAGAAGCAGCTGGTGCGAGCAGCAGCTCTGGGAAGAGGAGAACCTCAAGATAGGCAAGGCTTGGTACTGTTGACAAGAATGAGAGCCACTATTCTTGCTCAAATTGTATGTATGGATGTGAGGTGACATGTGCACTTAGCAAGAGTGCCACATAATGCAAATAGGCAGCTCACAACAAACAAGCATATCATGGCATACCCAAGCAAGCAACATGCGCATGTCTGCGCCACAGCTTATCTTCTATCTTGCGTATCTTAGCTTTATCTTGCGTATCTTAGCTTATCTTGTCTTCTTGACTTGTCTCTCTTTTGTTCTATGCGGCTTCGTATGGTGTGACTCGTGGTGGTGCATGGCATGTGTTTTTGTATTGGCAGCATGGTGAGCAACAACCATCTCTACGGGCCTCTGCCAGACTGCCTCTTCGACAAGTGCATTAACCAAATGTGAGCCCACCTGCTTACTTCATCCATCCCCACTACTACCAAAGAGTGCTGCAAGGCATGCTGCTCACTGCTATCAGTGCGGTCAGGTGCAAAGGGCGTTGAATGAACGCGCTATTGACCGTCAGGTGGGCCTCTCAGCTCGCCCTAGCGAATCATTCCTTCTAGCCCTCGCTTTTGTCATGCTCCCCGCCCCCCTCCTGTCCTCGCAGCGACGTGAGCAACAACAGCCTGTACGGGCGCATCAACCACGACTTCAACAGCATGGTGGCGGACTGGGAGGCCCTCATCAACCTCGCACACAACTTCTTCTACGGAGATGCAGTGCTCTTTGCCGCGGGCTGCCGGGTGTGCCCCGAGGAGATCACCCAGCGCAACCAGCTGCAGCTGGGCGACAGCAGCGTGAGGCTGGCAAGGAACTGCAGCGACACTGCCTTCTCTGGCCAGCGCGACTACTCGGTGGTGGGGGCAGGCAAGGGCGCCCGCGGGAGTCTCGCAGGCAACTGTCTGACCCTCAAACGGGATGTCAAGTGCCCGTCCAACGCCACTCAGCGCAGCACGGCAGCCTGCCAGGCGTTCTGCAGCATCACGGACAACGGCCCGTGTGATGGCCATGGGGCGTGTGTGCCGCCTGCGCCAGACGCCCAGGCCAACTTCACATGCATGTACGACGCCGAGTACTCCTCCATGGACCTGGGCAACAGCTCCACCTGCGCCATCCTCAGCTCCACCACCACTGCTGGTGAGGCACCCTCACACATGGACTCCTTACCTGGAAGCTGCAGCCCATGCTGCGCTCACATCTCACCCATGCTGCGCTCACATCTCACCCATGCTGCGCTCACATCTCACCCATGCTGCGCTCACATCTCACCCATGCTGCGCTCACATCTCACCCGTGCTGCCCTTCCTGCCTTTAGTGCATCTCCAACTCCATCTCCTCGACTCCCCACCTTTTTTACCCCACCCTCCCTGCTCCCTCCGTCGTTGCTGTCAACAGGTGTCATCGTAGGCATCACTGTGGGGTGCTTTGCCGGATTCACTCTGCTCACTGCTGTGCTTGCCTGGCTACTGTGGCCCCGTCGACAAAGTAAGACCTCCTTCAATGCTCCCATGTCATCCCTCCAATTCTTGCTCCTCTTTCCCGCTCGCCTTGCACTCCTGCCCTGCCCATGCCTGCACTTCAACTCACCTTCCCTGCCAGCCCCACTTCTGCATTCCTTGTGTGCCCACTCGCTCAAACCCTTGCTGAATATGTGTTGCTGCATGGCCTCCCACTGTGCACCTCACCTCACCGTGCTCTGTTGGGGCACAGGGAAGTGGGAGGGGCTGGACCTGTGCGAGCAGTTCTCACTGCAGCAGCTCGTGAAGGCCACGGACAACTGGGCGCCTGAGAACTTGCTGGGGCAAGGCGGGTTTGGCACTGTGTACAAGGGGTGCTCGCCGCAGGGGCAGCTGTGGGCAGTGAAGCGCTCCACTGTCATGACCAACGAGTTTGAGACGGAGGTCAGCCCTTGCCTTGCTGCCTCTACACCATTGCTCAAATCCTGCCATTCAGCCATGGCACCATGGCAATGGGGCTCATTGTGCTCTTTGGAATGCTGATCTGTCTTTGCTTTATTGGAAGCACTGTTAAACTTGGCAACTCGCATATTGCCTTCCTTGTCCACTGTGCTTTGCGGCGCATGCAGGTGCGCGCCATGGCATCGCTGCACCATGTGAATCTGGTGCGCCTGTTGGGCTTCTGCCAGGACCAGAACGTGGAGAAGGGCAAGCAGGAGCAGATCCTCGTGTACGAGTTCGTGGGCAACCGAGACCTGCACCACCACCTCTACAAGACTAAGAGTCAGATGCCCTCGCACCAAGTCACCAAGTCGCCAGCCAAGTGTTCTTTAGCAGAGAATGTCAAAAGCTGCTAACACAGAAACACTCTTCGTGCCTGCCCCTCGTGGTCTTGCTTCCAGATCCTCTCTTGCTGCGCCAAAGGTTGCGCCTGGCGCAAGGAGCAGCGGAGGGCCTGGTGTACCTGCATGGGTTTGCGACGCCCATCATCCACCGCGACATCAAGCCTGCCAACATCCTCGTTACAGCTGACATGCAGTAAATTTATAAGCGCAGGCACTAGTAAAATGACATATATATTTAGTATTTTCCAACACCAAACCGTAGATCTCGTGCTTGCCTTTTCAATCGAGTCGAAGTAACATGGGGTCTTTCGTGAAATTGCGTGCGCTGGGAGATATACTCCATCTGACGCACAAGGTGCCCCTGACAGCTCCTGCTGACTGGACTCGCATCCAATGTGTTGAGTGCAATACATGGTTTGCACGACAACCTACAAGCTATTCGTCGACGTTGAGTGAAAGTGAGGTGTTTGTTCTGAAGGTGATTTGTTGTGTGCGAGATGCGCTTTTCCGTGAGATGCGTTTCTGTGTTTAGGGTTCGAGCCTTGTAGTTTACAAATCTTTCAACTTCAGAAATTTGTACTTGAAGAACCACACATTAATGTATAGCATGACACGATAAAAGTTATGCACTTCGTCGAATTGCTCCGCAACCCTAAGACGATTTCGTCGCCACTTGTTTTTTTTTTTTTTTTTTTGAAATCTGATTTTTCAGTTTTTTTTTCAGCTCTTGTCTAATATTTCAGCATTTTTTCCAAAGTGTACTGTGATCCATCAAAGTCTTTGCGGGGACCAACTCTGATTTTGCCTATGCGAGATTTGCACTGACAACCGTGATTAGTGTTGGAAATACAGTTTTGTCCTCGTTGGCTCTAGTGAAGTCCAATTTCAGTTGCTGATTGGTCGATAACGCAACTTTTGATCGCCAAACTCAGCCGGTACACCTAACCACCAATTATTTCTACCGTATCATCCCGGATAGTAGCGCCGGCGCTTCTATATGGAGCCATGCGCTGTCAGGTTGAACAAGAGTGATTGGACTAGGAAAGAGTTGGGTACAAGTAGGAAACCCTAAACTTACTGTACCCCATAGTAACTACCCCACTACAACCTAAACAAACTGTAGCAGATATAACATTTGACACACCCCCATAGGCAAAGTGGGGGAGAGCAAGGGGTCACAAGACCAGTCAAGAAAGAAAACGCAAGCTCAGGGTGGATCACAACGTCACCACACACTCTGAGCACAAGCAAAGAGCCACAAGGCCAGTTCACATGCAGAGGCATATATGCAACACAAATAGCATAGTGATCTCTATCAGAATGCTATATAGCTTATACATTTATGTAGGCTATAGTGGGGTATCCCATAGGGGGTACAACCCAATTAGGGTTAGTACTTGTACTCACTCATTTCATAGTTGATTCATTCTCGTTTCGATTCTCACATGGTATTGAGCAGGTTCCCTCGTGGGAACTGTTCCTAAGGCCCTACTACTGCCTCCGCTGCTACTCAATCTGTCGCACGCCCCGCAGCGTGCGACCTATTTTCATCTCGAGGCGCGCGTCCCGAGGCGCGCGACCCCGCCTCTTTCGTCGCGGCCCCGCCCCTTGTCGCGGCCCCGCCCTACGTCGCGGCCCCGCCCTACGTCGCGGCCCCGCCCCGAGGCACGCGACCCCGCCTCTTTCGTCGCGGCCCCGCCCCTTGTTGCGGCCCCGCCCTACGTCGCGGCCCCGCCCTACGTCGCGGCCCCGCCCCGAGGCGCGCGACCCCGCCTCTTTCGTCGCGGCCCCGCCCCTTGTCGCGGTCCCGCCCTACGTCGCGGCCCCGCCCTACGTCGCGGCCCCGCCCCTCGTCGCGGCCCCGCCACCTCTCGTCGCGGCCCCGCCATCTCTCGTCGCGGCCCCGCCACTCTCGTCGCGGCCCCGCCCTTTGTTGCGGCCCCTGCCGCCCTTCGTTGCGGCCCCTGCCGCCCTTCGTCGCGACCCCTGCCGCCCTTCGTCGCGGCCCCTGCCGCCATTCTCCACCGTGGCCCCGCCACCTCCCTTGCGGCCCCGCAGCCCTGCACTGACCCGGCCCCGCCTCTGCTGGCCCCGTCACCTGCCCCTGCGCCCCTGCGACCTTGCTCCACCTCTGCCGGCCCCGGCGCCGCCTCTGCTGGCCCCGTCGCCGCTCCACCCGGCCCCGCCGCCGTCCCCAGGCGGCCCCGTCGTCACCACCGAGCCGCCGGCGCCGCCGAGCTAGTGCCGAGTCACCCGAGCCGCCCGAGCCGCCCAAGCCGCCCAAGCCGCCCGAGCCGCCCGAGCCGACCGAGCCACCCGAGCCGCCCGAGCCGCAGCGCCACCTCAGCCGCCCGAGCCGCCGGGTCGCCGAGCCGCCGAGCTGCAGTTGCTGCCGAGCAGCCGTACCGCCGAGCCGCCGAGCCGCCCGAGTCGCCCGAGCAGCCGAGCCGCCCGAGTCGCCCGAGCCGCCGAGCCGCAGTTGCTGCAGTGCCGCCGTGGCGCCAAGTCGCCGAGTCGCCGAGTCGTCGAGCCTCCTCTTCCCACCACTGGTGAGCCCCTGCCTTACTAGCGCGCTGCCTACTGCTTGCTTGGCTGCCTGCCTTACTGCTGCTACTCCTGCTCCTGCTTCTACTGGCGGCGGCCAGATGCAGCTCCAACGACGCCCACGCGCGTCTCTCACGCCCCAGCAGCTTCGTGAGTGGTACGCTCAGAGTGGAGGGTCTCTCAGTTCTGTTCGCTGCTCTTACGTGATTCGCACTGGTGCTCGGACTGGTCAGCCTTGTGGGACGCCTAGTCACACACCGTCCCGCTGCTTTGCCCGTCTGAGCGACACCTGGCGTACCGCGTTTGGCGACGAGGCTGAGCTCCCCGACTGGGTGGAGTTGCTTAGGCAGAGGGTAGATATATTTGCTCTTGACTATGATGCTATCATCACTGCCATGTATGCATTGCCTACTAGTGCTGACCGTGCCGGTCACCTGTGCGTACCGCCTGACCCGGGTATAGATCCTGCTGCTCTAGCTGCTGGTGCGGCTGCTGCTCTGGGTGCTAGTGTGTCTCCTGCTCCAGGTACAGGTGCGGCTGCTGCTCTAGGTGCTAGTGAGTCTGCTTCCTCAGGTGCGGGTGAGTCTGCTCTCTCAGGTACCGCGTCGGCTCCGGCCTCTCACACCTTCACCCTTCTCTCGGGGGCTTCCCGCTCCTTCTTTCGAGACTGCACCACACTCACGCTGCTTGGTCGGCCAGTTGCACTCTCTCTGGCAGACCCCTCTGGGGGCCCTGTCCTTGCTCACTTCTCCACTGTCCTCCCGTGTGCGGCGGCCCCCTCTGGCACCCTGTCTGGTCTTTACCTCCCCTCGTTCTCTACGAACTTGGTTAGTGGTGCTGACCTGCAGGATGCGGGGGTTCACCAGTTCACTCCTGCGAGTCAGCGGGTGACCCACTGCACAGACGCTCGGACAGGCCGACACCTGGCCACGTTTACTCGTCGGCCGTGGTCGAGCCTGTACACACTGACCAGTGCGTCTCCTCCAGCTGCTGAGCCTGGTAGGGTGGCTGCGTCGGATCAGGTGTTTGCTGCAGCGTCCAGGTCTGGTCCTGAGTCTGCCCCCTGTTCGTGTCGTCTCCTGTCTCACGAGACTCTCCTCTGGCACCACCGCCTTGGTCACCCCTCTCTGCTTCGGCTCAGAGGCATGGCCTCTCGTCTTCTTGTTTCTGGTCTCCCCCGGTCCCTCCCTCCCCTTCCTCAGGGCCCTGGCCCTACCTGTGTCCCCTGTGTCGAGGGGCGCCAGCGTGCTGCCCCTCACTCCTCCCAGTTTCCTCCGACAGAGACCCCGTTGCAGACGCTTCACATGGACGTGTGGGGCCCAGCCCGTGTCCGTGGACAGGGTCACGAGCGCTACTTCCTGCTAGTTGTTGACGAATACTCGCGTTACACCACAGTCTTCCCCTTGCGCAGCAAGGGTGATGTCACTGAGGTGCTGATCGACTGGATCCGCGCAGCTCGTCTCCTGCTCAGGCAGAGCTTTGGCTCGGACTTTCCTGTTCTGCGTCTGCACTCGGACAGAGGCGGAGAGTTTTCCTCTGGCCTTCTGAGAGCCTACTGTCGCGCACGGGGCATCCGTCAGACCTTCACGCTTCCGGACTCTCCGCAGCAAAATGGGATTGCTGAGCGCCGCATTGGCATGGTCATGGACGTCGCTCGTACGTCTATGATGCATGCGGCTGCCCCCCATTTTCTGTGGCCGTTTGCGGTCAGGTACGCGGCGCATCAGATCAACCTTCACCCCAGGGTCTCCAGGCCGGAGACCTCCCCAGCCTTGCTGTGGACGGGGAAGGTTGGCGATGCGTCGGCGTTCCGGGTCAGGGGATCTCGGGCGTTTGTCCGCGACTTGTCTGCGGACAAGCTGTCCCCTCGTGCTGCTCCTTGCGTCTTCCAGGGGTTCCCCCCTGACGCGCCTAGGTGGCAGTTCTACCACCCCACCTCTCACCGTGTTCTGTCCTCCCAGGACGTCACGTTCGACGAGTCGCTCCCCTACTACCGCCTCTTCCCCTACCGCACTCCGTCCCTCCCCCCACCCCCGCTCTTCCTTGTACCAGGTCCCCCCCAGGTAGACCCCCTCCCCCCTCAGGGTCCTGCCCCTTCAGGTGTGTCCCAGGTAGACGCAGTCGTGCCTGTCGAGGTCACTGGTGACTCTGGTGCAGCTGAGGGTGCTGCGCCTGGGGTTGCTGTGCCTGGGGGTGCTGAGCCAGGGGGTGCTACGCCTCGGGGTGCTTTGCCTGGTGGTGCCGGGCCTGGGGGTGCTGAGTCTGGAGGTGCTCCGCCTGGAGGTTCTCCGGGTGCTTCGTCTCGCCGGGAGCCACTCTCTCCACAGGAGCTGCGCGAGTGGTTTGCCCGGCGCTGGAGTTGTGCAGCTGGTGCTGGAGGTTCTTCGGCTACTCGGGGTGCTGAGCCTAGGGTTGCTGAGCCTGGGGGTGCTGAGCCTGGGTGTGCTACGCCTGGGGGTGCTGAGCCT